TTAGATGGCTATTAGCTGCTTGTAGTATTTTCCACTTCGGATCAGCAACTATTATTGTTCTTTAGCAACCATGTTAGGAGACAGTTTTCTTGACATAGAGAATAATGTTCGATTTAGTTTCCGCCTCAACATGTGTTTAGTCTTCAGGTGCAAGAAACACATGCCAGAGGTATGTAAGCACTCTGCCGTCGTCGTTGTACTCATTTTTTCGGTACTTGTTGGTGTACGGTAGGTCGTGTATAACTTTCACTGGCCTTGACTCGCTATGTACACAAGAGCTGCCATTTGTGATTACTGTGTCACTGCGTGTTGCCCTATAGCGCGACGACCTCGCGGTCCTGACAAGGTAACGTAGTTATTGACCTGTGGCGGGTGCGAATTTCGACCAGTGCTAGTCGTGAAATCGCTCATTTTTTGACAGATCGATAAGCTTCCAGAATCGAAGTAGCTGACCCGGTTTCGACGATGACAGATATAAAGGTCGCGTTGGTGGTGGCGCAGTCATTTCCCTGACACGACCCCCATTTGAGGTCGGTTACGTCAGCGATGGTAGAAATGCTAGAGGTGAACATTCGAAAACGATCTTTTTTCTGGAATGACGTCGTTTTGACGATGCTCTGCTTGAGGGCTACGAAACCATTGTAATTCTTTGTTGAAGCAGTGCCCTGTTTATTCGTTTGTTTTGATTACGTCGGGTGCGAAAATCGACCTCTAAATCATTAACACCCTCTTGATGACTTATACCACATGCTAAGATCCGTCAGTCGCATAATCCGCCTTTGCCCCAAACAACTTAAGTAGTCAACGAAGATTACAACACTGTTGACAGTGATTTATAACGTCATCACACACCAGCTGTGGAAGAATATACGTTTCGAAGTCGACGTGTCATTTACTTCTATGATTAATTACACGATTTTTTATACAACTTTCGGTGTCATTGTTTATTCATTACTTGTGATAAAGTTGTCATAATTAGTCTGCAGCTATATTTCGCGACTGTAGAAATGATTTTCATAGATAAAATTTTCATTGTCGTGAAAAAATAAATTAGATACGTCCTGTCGCTGCCTGTGCTAAACTACTATTTGAGACAGTATTGCTTGCAGTGTATCGCTACTGTGAATTTCATGACGACCGTGTGTACTCATTGTCACATTCATAGTACTGTATCAGTAAACTATAATGTTTCACTGGTTAAAAACTTGACTTAGACAAACTCTCTGACTTTTGAGTTTACTCATCTCCACTCCATCAATATAATCTTGATTTATATGTATAATCGTTTAGTACGTAGGCAGTACTGGATGTCATTGGGATTGTGTGGCTGTCAGGCCTTTATACCTAATGATTGCTAGGCTCTGTTGAGTATGTATTCTGTGTGATGCCGTTTTCCTTGAAAGTTGCTTGAGTCGAACATTTCTTTTTTGTTAACAATGTGATATAATATTCTATGGCATTCGCAAGGCAACAACAAAAATCAGATTTCGTAGTAGGCTACGTTTTGTGCCAATCAGTGATGTGATGCGTGACTTAAGCTACCGTAGTATTAAAAGTGGACTATGTGCTGAGAAACAACCGTTGTTTCAGCAGTACATGCTTCATAATCACTCATTATGTCTTAGTTGACCTGCAGCTTTGCAATTCCTCCCTGCATCAGTACTGTTCTTACTATGAATAAGTACTGTGAACTTTAGAACCATCGTAGGTACTGATTACTGTGAATGGTATTATTGATTTGAATTATGTAATTTTTCAATTGAGTTTCTTATGTACATCATACATGCTATTACTGTGACTAAAATGTGTCTCATGGATACTTTACTCCTTATGCCAATCTCTATTATTAATATTTCAGTCTTGTGTAAATGAATGTGCGCATTTTTCTGCTTAGGGGTTTTTTCGTCGCAGCATCCAGAAGCAGATCGAGTACAGGTGCTTACGCGATGGCAAGTGTATGGTGTACAGGTTGAACAGGAACCGATGTCAGTACTGTCGTTTCAAAAAGTGCCTTGCTGTTGGAATGTCCCGCGACTGTAAGTAGTTTATTAGTGACTACTCATAGATGAGTGGAATAGCTGCTCGCTGTCACAGTTGTCCTTTTCGGTGTTTAAGGCTCGTATGGCATGATGAAAAGATTTCACCAAGCTTTCCTTGGAGATTATTCCAGACAGTGATCTCTGTTCAGTCCGGTGTTGAGTCAGAGTGTGCTCCTCGCAGATCTGGCGATCATGCTTATAATGACCATATGGTCATTTTTTGATAGCCGGTGCTTAACCACCGATTTATAGCACGTACTGCACTTTGTCCTTTTCTTAAAGTCTCTTCTTCTTGGAAACGAGCTTCGACTCATTATCCTTCTCTCTTCTGAAATATGCAGGCGTACCGTCGATGAAATCTTCTTGAAAGATCGTGATTTCGACTTGCGGTACGGTCATTGACTAATCTTCCTACCGTGTCAAAGAAGTAGCTTTCACTATATGCGAACGAAGATGAAGACTATATGCTATATTCGTCGTCTAGTTATAGACGTTGTCATGAAAATAGATGCAAAACTCTTTTTCTTATGACAATAACGCCGAATTGCGCCACATCCGAAATCTGGTGGTAAAATAGGCTCGGTGATAGTAGTCGGTTATGGAGATGTAAGGTAGACTACGGTCTTAAAGTCTGCTAGTTTTTAGTTTTCTTTTTATCATTCCGCATGGAGTTTGTAGGCACTAACTGCCTGGCATTCATCACGCGTTAATGAAACGGCTTCAATTTAAATAAGATTTGATAGTAGACCCAAAAAATGTACAAAGTACATGCGTTCGCAAAGTATACCTGGTAAATTCACTGATATCTAGTTGACTTAATTTGTTGTGAGGTGGTAGTGAGGAAACGATCTTTGATTGTCGATGTCTATTCTTATATGTAAAACAGGTTTTATCCTCCACAAAAATGTCCCTTGTATGATGACGTTTATAGCATCGCCACTATCGACTTCAACAACTCAATATTAACCCAACTTCTTGCAAAACTTGGAAGGTCTAGCAATAAAGTCCGAGTTGAGATTATTTACATTTTTCCAAAATTATGTTTATTTCTAACTCATCCCATTTGCGCAAATTTCTTATCGCAGAATGATTGAGGTAGATTGAAATACGTTTCATGTTGCTTTTGTCAGCGAAACTAAATAAATGGACGTTTCAGCCGTGCGGTACGGTCGCGTACCAAAACGCTCCAGGGACCGGGTTCAAGACGAGTCCCGCGTGTCATCGATGACCGGAGAATCAGAAGCTGATTCAGAGCTGGAGAAGAAGCAGCTTGCCCTCTACGACATCATTTTGAGCGTGTCGCAGGCGCATCACGCGAATTGTCCTTACACTGAGGACAAAATCAGAAATCTTCCTCAGCGACTGATACAGTTCGTACGTATTTTTGTAACTGTACAACTTTATAAAATGTATCAGTTGCCTCGTTTCTTACTTCAACGTGTACTTAGGCAGTCGTTTAAACGGGTGAGACCTCCGTTCCAGGAGATCAACGTAACGAATGTTGCAAAAAGGACATTTAATATTCTTTTTACAACATGCTATCTTTCTGTTGAATATATTTAAAGCGGTACATGCTTATTGATATGCAATACACGCTTTGTGATGCC